TCCAGCCAACCTTACATCACAGCTAGGTGTGTAAATTAATGGAGTCTTTGATGAGGGACGCGATCGTTGATCATCTAGATAACCAGGACATTATTATTAACACGCAACATGGTTTTAGGTCTGGTCGTTCCTGTTTAACCAATCTGTTAGAGTTTCTTGAGGATGTGACACACTATGTGGACTCCGGAACACCAGTTGACGTAATATACCTTGACTTTCAAAAAGCATTTGACAAGGTCCCACATCGCAGACTGGCTTTGAAACTAGAGAGTCATGGTATAATCGGACCAATCCAGCGATGGGTTAGTGACTGGCTTTACGGTAGAAATCAGCGTGTGGTAGTAAATGGTTCTTTTTCACCATGGGCACCAGTGACAAGTGGGGTACCTCAAGGCTCGGTCCTGGGACCGACTCTTTTCCTGATATATATTAATGACATTGACAACGCGGTAACATCTATGGTGAAAAAGTTTGCGGATGACACAAAATTATACCGTACCATTGAGAATGAGGAGGATGCTGCAAAGTTACAATGTGATCTGCATAGTCTGATGGACTGGTCGGCTGACTGGCTGATGTTATTTAATGCAAGCAAGTGTAAGGTCATGCACTTGGGCTATGCCAACAAGAAATTTGACTATACTATGGGCGAGGTGACCTTCGATGAAACAACATCAGAGTGTGCAGCTGCAGTTAAGAGGGCCAATGCAGTTCTAGGCATGATTAAACGCTCATTTATTTACAAGGAAGTTGACATTGTTATGGCACTTTACAAACACCTTGTCCGCCCAACTTTGGAATACTGTGTTCAAGCCTGGAACCCTCATTTGGTAAAAGATATTGACCTAATGGAGAAAGTCCAGCGGAGGGCAACCAAGCTGATACCGGAGCTCTGTCATCTCTCCTATGAAGATCGTCTCAAGGAGCTCAAGCTCACCAAATTAGACCTGAGGAGGTGGAGAGGTGATATGATTGAGGTATTCAAGATTCTTACTGACAGAGAGAAAGTGGACAAAAACAAACTTTTCATTATTTCCTCTGATACAAGAACCAGAGGTCATCAGTTTAAATTGATCAAGGCGCGATCGCGCCTGGACTTGCGCAAGTACTTTTTCACACAGCGGGTGGTGGATTCCTAGAATTCTTTGCCAGTTAGTTGTATTAGTGCCTCTAAATAGTGTAAACACATTCAAAAACGAGATCGACAATTATGAGTCGGACGGCTCCCTTGCCCCCTGCCGCCATGCGTCTATGAGTCGTGCGGCGGCGACAGGTAAATACAGGTAAATAGGTAAATACTTGGAACGTCTCAATAAAAAAAAAGGTAAATAAACACGAAATGTATTTACTACCAATTCTCTCCTCTCCTTCGCCTAGGCTATTATTGCCGATAACTTGCTGTAAATGCCGTTCAAATCACAGGCACTTGGAACGTCTCAATAAAATAAAATAAAGTAAATAAACACGAAATGTATTTATACTACAAAAGTCTTAATGTTTCTCTACTCTATTTCGCCTATAATCACCTGTAAATGCCGGTCAAACGCTCATCTGCAACACACAAGTACACCGCACGCACGCCCTGTGCACAAACAACAAGAACGCATTTTTTTCGACACTTCCTGTTAACTCACATGTTTCTCGGTCGAAATGAACAAACAACACCCTCAACAGCACCCCTGTCGATTTTAGAGAGGCTATATACCCCCACATTTACGAAAATGACATAGGTCTCAATGGGACCCATGTTCTCTATCCTTGAACCCGCATGGCCCGTGCACAAACAACACGAATAATACTAATAGAGGATTTTAGGATCTAACAACACTCTATAGACCCCTTGCACGTGACGTCATCAAAACAAAGGCGGCCATGTTGGCATCATTGCTGCGACCGTGCGACGTGGTTACAGCGTGAAAAGTTCAGTTTAGAGAGATCTCCAACATTTTCACACGAAAATGGTGAATTATTGTAGGATAGCGAATGTACTAACCGATCTGATAGGGAAAAGGATAAGAAATTCGTTCGACTACCTGCTGTTATAACTAATCAGGGAGAACATGAGAAGTGTATCACAGAGGAGAGTGTCGGCTCCTAAACCTCCCCTCCCACATGCCTTACGCCGCTTCGCATCCACTTTATTCAGCTACCTACACGCGTCTAAGCATTGCTTCGTGAAAGTTCGGTTTTTCCGCGATAACTTTATGAATGAACGGTACTTCGGTTATCATAGGTGACTTTCGGGGGCATCGCCTATGCCCTTATCTTTCATTATCTTTCCTAGCACGGCTAATGCCCGTCATGATGGAGCCGGCTCAATCAAGTTTTTACAACGCAGCTCAGTTACTATATGGTGTAGTAAGAGTACCAAATTTGGGCATGTGACATCAATTATCAGCGCTCCAAGCGGTGACGGAAACCGATAGCCAAAATGCTTAGACGCGTATAGGTAGCTGAATAAAGTGGATGCGAAGCGGCGTAGGGCACGTGAGAGGGGAGGTTTAGGAGCCGATATCTCCGCCTAGGAATATCGTATTGACAAGCGGTTGGTCTTGTTGTAGAAAGCAAGGAATTCTGCTTAAAGCAATACCATGAAATTATTCTAGACTCGCAGGCAAAATAGAATAATGTAGTCGTGAAATAGCACTATTTTCCCGTTTTTCTGTTGTACACTCTAGGTATTATTAGCTCTTGATAGCGTCAATGTAAGCGTGGGGAGGGGGTAAACTAATACCCCGTACGAACTACGAATTTGATATGGTGTTAAACTAGCGCGCACCAGGCCCGCGCCAAAGTTTTGCAATGTATACACGCTATCCCGCTCCAATTTGGCCCCGCAAATGAAGGGGGACCAGGCCCGGGATAACTTAGCATGGTATAAGTTATCCCGCACCAAGCTGTGTCTGTAGGCAACAAGCGGGCCAGACCCGGTGCTAAATCGCAATACGCATGCGCATAGCCTTATTTAGGTCACGTAATTGTACGCTCGCTGTACCTTGCTGTCTGCGGGGTGGCGAGCTGAACGGAGAACTGATGACTCATTTAATGTAGGATCAAATATGCAGTCTGTACACTACGATTTGGCGCGCGTCAGACCAGGGCCTTGCGCACGCTAGTTTAATATCATATCAAATTTTGCAGTCTGTACGGGGTATAAAGCTTAATAAAGGTTAGCTTATAGTCATAACCTGACCAGGCTGCGCGGCTAACCTAAATACATATCTTTCATACACATCTTTCTGCATACATGTCTTTCGATGCATGGCCGTTTCTTGGAGCTAATTCTAATGAAGATTCACGTGTGAGCATCCTTCTACAAGTGTAATACTCACGGAGCAGGTTTCCTATGACGGGAAGACGAAGTGGCCCTGGCGGCATACGGTACGGTTTTCTCGTCATAAAATAAAGTATGATTGATGCAGCGAAGAGAGTCAGTAACGCTCTCCAGTCTCCAAGTACAGTTAACCAGTGGTCCAACTTCCCATCTAAAGCCATTTCAGTAACTGCTACAAAATACAGATAAATGGGTATTCCGTGCATTTAGATTTACCATGCAGCTTACGGATCGGATTCTCAAAGACAAAATGTTTTGGCTACTGTATTTGCGTTAACACCTATTGCCTAACTAGGACTACTGACTAGTAGTAGTACTACACTCCTACACAACTGTCAATGTAGCTGAGAGGGTCTATGTCCCCCAGGGTACTGCCGGAACGTACCCTGGTACTATATCTAATATGCCGGACCGTACCTTGCCTACTGGCTACTCCACTAACGAGTCTAGAGAGTCGCCTACTCTCTAGAACCCTAACCCTAACCATATCAGATAGTTACCAGGGTACGTTCCGGCAGTACCCTGGGGGACATAGACCATATGAGCGTCAATGTATTGCAGTGTTGTAGGTCTTGAGGCCGGTCTTGGCTTCGAGACCGGCCTCGAGACCGTTTTCCTTGGTCTCGGTCTCGGTCTTGGCCTAGGAGTGCAATGACTCTGACTCGGACTCGAGCCATCCGGACTCGAGGACTCGGGTCGAGGCCGGCTCGAGGCCACTACATACATAGTACACAACTGTACATATTGTACACTAAAACTCTTAGGTTTTCTAGATACACGGCCTAATCTTGTAACGTTTCCAATGGCTCAATTAAGATTCTTGTCCTTTTGGTTTGAATCTGCTGTCACTTCGTCCCTTTGCGCTTTTTCTACCACTTCTTTCTCTTCTTCTACCACTTCGAAGGTACTAGCACTCTCTCATTTGGTTCAACAAGCCGTGTCATTCGCGTAAAACAGAAATGGATCCGTTACTTTGACACGTTTCGTATGACTCGTGTCTCTGTGTTTTCGGCTGACTATGGCCAAAGAGCTTATAATGATATCATCATATCATGTTTATAAACATTGACGTCATATGCGCACATGCGCAGTTTAACGGTTGGCAGCAAGCAGATGTGTGATATTGTTCGATACAAGCACACGCACGCACGCACGCACGTGTACCTGCACACGTGCGCACACACGCACGCACGCACGCACGTGTACGTGCACACACACTGACGCACGCACGCATGCACGCACGTGTAAGTTCACACGCACGCACGCACGCACGTGTACGTACACACGCACGTCCGCACACACGCACGCACGTGTACGTGCACACGCACGCACACACTCGTGCACGCACGTTTACGTGCACACGCACGCACGCACGTCTACGTGCATATGCACACGCGCACACACGCACGCACGCACACACGCACGTGTACGTGCACACACACGGACGCACGCACGCACGTGTTCGTGCACACGCACGCACACACTCATGTACGCACGTGTACGTCGTGCACACGTACGCATGCACGCACGCACGTGTACGTGCACATGCACGCACGCACGCATGCACGCACGTGTACGTGCACACGCACGCACGCACGCATGCACGCACGTGTACGTGCACACGCACGCACTCACGCATGCACGCACGTGTACGTGCACACGCACGCACGCACGCATGCACGCACGCATGTGTATGACTGTACGTGCATATGCAGGTACGCACGCGCGCACGTGTACATCCAAACGCACGCACGCGCGCATGCATACACGTGTACCTGCACACGCACGCACGTACGCACGCACGAATGCACGCAGGTGTATGTGCTGTGCGCACGTGTAAGTGCACACGCACGCACGCACGCACGAACACACGTGTACGTACACACGCACGCACGCGTACTTGCACACGCACGCACGTGCACACGCACACATGCACCCACACATGCACGCACGTGTACGCACGCACGCACGCACGCACGTGTACGTGCACACGCACGCACACGCACACACGCACACATGCAGGCACGTGTACGTGCACAGGCACGTGTACGTGTCACGCGCGCACGTACGAACGTGTACGTGCACACGCACGCACACCCGCACGTGTACCTGTACGTGCACACGCACACACGCACGCACGCACGCACGCACGCACGCACGCACGTGTACGTGCACTATATAAACAGCACTTTCTATCAGAACATGTGGTCATTCATCTGTAAATGTCAAGCAGCACGCTTCGCTTCTGCCAACCACAACACATGTATAACAAATACACGTGACCTGATCTATGACGTCACGTGAAACATCGCTATACACTTTCGAATGTATACGATGCACTGTTGCGATTTTTCCCCATTTTCCCGATTTTTTCCTTTTTTTCCCCTTTTTTCCCGATTTTCTCCCTTTCTTTATCAAAACTGGACTCGGACTCGGACTCGGGTGGTGTGGACTCGAACTCGGACTCGGGTGGCGCGGACTCGGACTCGGACTCGGACTCGGGGGGTGCGGACTCGGACTCGGACTCGGGTGGCGCGGACTCGGACTCGGACTCGGACTCGGGGGGTGCGGACTCGGACTCGGACTCGGGGGGTGCGGACTCGTCTACAACACTGATGTATTGTATGTCTGACGTTGGTATCCTATATTCGGAAAATCTAAGCCGCGTAGGGTTAGGTAAATAATTAAGTAATTGCGTAAGGTAATTAACAAGTGCCGCATAGCGACAGCGCTCATCTAACGTCTACTGCGGTGACTCTGTGGTGGAGTGGTGGGATTCTAGTAAACCCTGTTAGTCCCAAATGTGTTCACATACACGCCGAAACAGTGGAATGCACAGGGATGGTATCAGGAACCTTCTCAAAAGAAATGTTCGTTGGGATCGTTAATGAAAGTGCCACGAGATGGCGGCGTTACGTTTAAGTGTCTTCAGAGTTAAAGATGGAAGCTCGCCAGTCATACGTAGCAGCAACACCTTATCCTGTGCAAGAGCAGAATAGGTAAAACACTCATCCCATTTACGCTAACGCAACGCCTACAGGCTGCGCAATCACAGTCAGGATCGCGCACCCTTGAATAACGCGAATCAATTGGTGCTATAAAATCTTTGTCGTCTACGGGTTAAGTAGCCGTTAGGGAATACAGAGGATTGGTAGGCGATTAAGGGATTTAGAGGTTACATATGGTAGAGCGTATAATGGCTCAGGGGTACTAATGGTTTTTTAGGTTTAGGGTTAGGCCAGAAGTGTCTACGAGCTTATTACTAAAGCTAGCATCAAAAACGAGTGTAAATTTATTTCCCACGAGCGTTATAATTTACCGAGAGCAATCAATTTTTTAGGCCTGGTGGAAATTCACTGGCTGCAACAATACTGTAGGCCTCCAATAAGCCATCCAGGCATGTTATGAGAGATTCTAAAACTAGCCAAATCCGGGCAGTCAACCTATCCTTTCTAACAGACAGTCAAAAAATCCATGTTTAACCTCCTCGTCCTGTGAGGCGCATATATCTTTGTGACGTCGTAAGTTATTGAACCGAACCAATCAGACTCTACCGTTCATTATCCGCATCACTCGCAGTAGGACCACATCAAGAGCAACAAATTTAATGTATATGAGCGTCCTTTATCCAGAGTAAAGACCAATAAAAGAAAACTAGACCTAGGGTCACCCGGGCGCCCTCCAGCGAGTTGTTATGGTAAATAAGCGAGAAGTTATTACGCCACATAAAATGCTTCCGGCTTCCATTCCCCTTCTCGAGAGGAGCACGCCCACCACCCACTGAACTCGTCCCAGGACTGCTTAAAAGGAAAATAATCTCGTCTTGTAAAACTCTCCCGACCTTCTTCTCGTGCCCATAGGGCTGGAGCGCTTTGGAAGCCTGTGACCTCGCCAATTCGACGCAGCAGTGATGGCTTTCCTAAAACCATGATGCTAATGAGCACGCATACTATCACGAGCCTACAGGGTCGAGACCGTATTAGACAATTCTTTGTTTCGGCGGCGAGAGTTTTTTTCGCCTATTTGCCTTTTTGGAGACCCCCCCACCGCTTAAGATCGCCCGGAACTATTTCGCCTTTCCCTCCCTATAACCTTAAGTTAAGGGAGTGATAATGGTTGCCCCTTCTCTATTTGAGCTCAATGTACCCCCTATCGCAGGTGAGCCTGCTGCACTTCTCCTAAGCACCGCTTTTTGGACTAGTGCATCTGTTGACTCACGTCGTAAGCGTGTGGAACTGTCGAACCAGCAGCTTTTCAGAAAAACCACAACTGGACCTCGCACCTCACGCTCTGGTATATGTGCGAGTGGATCCGAGAGTACGGGGAACCAAGGGGGCAATATTTTTACATTTCAAAATTAAATAATCCTGAATGAGCTTTCTAAACTAGCGAGGAATTTCAGCCGAATTTGATCGGCGCTCACCGCGAAAATGAGGGACCGAATTGATAAAGTTGTTTCTTATGATATACAAGAAATGGAAAGATAAGAGGAAAAACACACGTTCCGGAGGCGGCCCTTTTAAAGAAATCCGCCGGTGAAAAGTCAAATACCCCCCTTTTTTTTTAAAATTTTTTGGGGCCGGAATTTTGTTGCAGCGAAAAATACCGCCTTTACCGGAGATTTTGGAGAGCTGCGAGCGTTATTTTGGCCGAACGTCGGTTTTGGTAACCCCGCATGGCGACGCTCGGGTGGGGGGAGGCGCGGGCCGTATCCCCGCGGGTAGCCAACGGGCACCTGGCACCCCCGGCCAGCCGAAAATCCGTCAATACTCGCGAGCAGCACTGCTGGTTGATCTGGATGTTTATATATATATATAGGATTCGTATACTCACCCAATTGCATACATTATGTTAGCGTGTCAGAACTATTAAGATAGTCCTGAAATCACCTTTACCTTCAGTTTCCTCTTAAGCTACTCAGCGCGCAGATTACATGGGAAGATTAATTGGATTAGAGTGTTTGAAGAGGTGATACTTTAATATTTAAGGGGAGTATATTAATTATTTTCATAGGATAAAAAATATTTGGTATGGAGTAATGGTCTTCATAATCCTCAATTCTATACAGAGAAAGCCATTCATATTAATCACCTACATATGATTTATCGATTTATCCAGAGACGGACAGGGTAAGTCGCAAACATATGACAGTCGCTGATTTATGTGCTCTGA